GTTGCAGTGAGCTGAGATCACGCCACTGCACTCCAGCCTAGGCGACACAGCGAGACTGTGTCTAAAAAAAAAGAACAGCTAGTACCTGCAGCATTAGAGAGTCCTGAGATTAAATACCAGTGTTATTAATTACCAGAAAACCGGGAGAGTTATTAACTTGTCTGAGCCTCAGTTTTCCCATCTACTGAATGGAGATAAAACTTAGTGTTTCATTAACATTTAAACCATTTAAGGATTAAATGAATTAAAACATAAAAAGTAGCTGAGCAGTGCCTAGAATACATAGTTGACTCTTTTGAAATGATAGCAACCATCAATAGCATTATTATACAATACATTTAGAAGATAATAAAAAGCACTACGTTAAAATTCTAGTGATTAGGCTAGGCCTAGTGTTGCTCATAATCCTAGCACTTTGGGAGACTGAGGCAAGTGGATCACTTGAGGTCAGGAGTTCAAGGCCAGCCTGGCCAACATGGTATAAGCCCATCTCTACTAAAAACTATGCAAACAAAAACAATTAGCTGGGCATGGTGGTGGGCACCTGTAGTCCCAGCTACTTGGGAGGCTGCAGCAAGAATTGCTTGTATCTGGGAGGTGGAGGTTGCAGTGAGATGAGATGCACCCTGGTACTCCAGTCTGGGCAACAGAGCAAGACCCCGTCTAAAAAAAAAAAAAAAATTACAGTGATTAGGTACACAAAAATAAAATCCTTCTTCCCACAAACACAAAAAGAATTAGAGAAAATGAGTCTTTAAAGGAAAGTAATAGCTTAAATCTCTAGTAACCCCATTCTAAAAACTCATCATCAACTGAAACTTACACATAAACAAAAAAACCATATGCAAAAGAAAACTTACTATAGTACTGTTTTAAGAGTAAAAACCTGTTTTTCACTGATTTTTTGGATAACATTTTATTAAAACACACTCATGCCTATTTGTTTAAGTACTGTCTCTGGCTGCTTTCACGCTACAAAGGCGGAGACAGCTGAGTGTAACAGAGGCCAACTACATGGTCCATAAAGCCTAAAATATTTACTGGCCCACTGCAGAAAAAGCATGTGGACTCCTGATTTAAGATGACCATACATAAGATGTGATAGTAATACTTTTTCAAATGACACACAAATATTCTACTTTATTCCTATTTTTATTTTAAAGAAAAAAAATTTTAAGTATGGTCTTTGGAATAGAATTTGATATGGAATATAATCACTATGAAATTGTTTTCAACTACTGGAAATGGCAGTTGTATATTTCACTATTTCCTGAGTTCCTGGGTCTCAGATGCATAAAACCTTATCCCATATCTGTGCCCCACCCTTCCCACCAAAGCTCTACTCAACTGTCTCCTGTGTTGCTGATGCCTATGCTACACAAACTCAAGAATATATGAGGCACTTTAAATACAGTCTTTGTCTATGAGCCCACACAGTCAAACCAGATATATTTAAATCCCAAATAAACCAACAATTTGTTGTGATTTGAAAATTGCTACTAAAATAGTTAACACTGAAGAATAATTTTAAGAGAATATTCTAAATGCTTAAAAGTGCTCCAAACAAAAACAAAATGAGTCAAGAGATAATATTTGAGCATTAAAAGTCCATTTTCTTTCAACATACAATTATTAAGCCAGGCATGGTGGCTCACGCCTGTAGTCCCAGCACTTTGGGGGCTGAGGCAAGAAGATAAAACGTTGAGTCCATGAGTTCAAGACTAGCCTGGGCGACATGATGAAACCCCATCTCTACAAAAATAGCCAGGTGCAGTGGCATGCACCTGTAGTCCCAGCTACTCGGTAGGGTCTCTTGAGCCCAAGAGGTAAAGGCTGCAGTGAGCCAAGGCTGCAGTGAGCCAAGACGGCACCCCTACACTCCAGCCTTGGAGACAGAGTGAGACACTGTCTCAAAAAAACAAAACAAAAACACAATGCAATTATTAGTTGTTAAGATGCATGTTAACATAATTTCTCTTACTACTAGAAAGAAAAAAAAATGATGCTAGGTAAGCTGTTCAGTGCCATCAAGATGTATTCTTATTTCACATATGCTTATAATGTGAAAAAATAATGCACCTTAGGATTTAAGAAATATAATATTACCATAATTAGGCATTCCAATTTCAAAGAAAAAATAATTATTTTTCTATAACCTATAAAATAACTAGTTATTTTAAATATCTTTACCTATTTTACAGGTTAAATAGCTTTTTCCTATAAAATTTGTCTTTCCCTAAAAGACAACCAAGGTTTTTTTAGTTAAAAATTGCATTCCCCAATTTTCCTGATACTCAGAGATACCTGCAGAACTAATTTTTCATAAAGTATTCCAGCTGATATTCATGACCAGGAAAGTCTGAGAAAACACGAACAAATTATGAGGACTTTTAAAGACTAAAAACATTTTTTTCTCTCTCTCTCTTAATTTTAGCTTTTTTTCAGAGGCAGGGTCTCACTCTGTCACCTAAAATGGGATCCAGTGGTGCCATCATAGCTGACTGTAAAACCTCAAACTCCTAGGTTCAAGAAATCCTCCTACCTTGGCCTCCCAAAGTGTTGGGATTACAGGCGTGATTACAGGGATTTTAGGCCATGCCTGGCCTAAAAACATTTTTATTTAAAAGTAACAAATTAATAGCTAGGTTGCTATTTACTGTTGTTAGAATTAAATCCAATGCTTATATAGTATCTCAGATGAGCAAATAGAATAATTTATATAATACATTAACTACCAGTACTAATATTACACCTACTAAGGCAAATTAATTTCCTGAAAATATTTGAAGAGATATAAATTGAAGTTAGTTATGACTGCTATCTTAAAATTTTTTCCACTATTTTCAAACACTTATTTTTTTATTTTGTGCAAAATATTAACTGTGCAAACATTAACTTGATTCAGTATCTATGATGACTAGGAGAACACCATGCTTTCAAATTTTAATAGATCAAGACTGCATATAGTCTCATTAAGCAATAACTATACATTCAGCTCACGACTTGGAAGAAAAAAAGTGGTCTGCAAAATACAGAAGTATGCTTGCTTTGTGTGCTTTGTTGTCAATGTATATAGGGCAGTCTGCTTGAAAGAAAGTAAAAATACCCAATGTAAAAGCCATTCAATATGTAAGGTACAAAATATTATTAATTATATAACCACAATCCCTCTAATATTTCTAGTAGTCAATGAGTTATGCAATAGTAAATTATTGGCAGCCAGGCGAAAACTGAATGAGTTCATTTCATTTGTCTTAAATATCGTCTAAAAATTTTTAGTATGAATTTCACTTTTCATATTTTTTATTCTGCTATTATAACTGCAGGCTATAATTATAATTTAACATAACACAGTAACCTAGAAAAGTCAAATTAAATAGTGACCCTAGAAAGCCCTCAGGGAAGCCTTATAGTTCTCTATCAATTTTTCTTACAGAATCTTCTTCTATGCCTTTTAAACTTAATGTCTGTGTTTGAAGACAAAGACAGGAAATATATACTGTAACATAATGAGGTAATCTCCCATATGTACTTAAGTTTATTAAAAATATTCAATAAAAAGAACAAAATTAACTTGATTATTAACATCTTAATCATTTAATTTTAAAAAGCCCTATAACTTCTTTTTCTCAATTTTTAAGTTTATTTGCATTAGTTTTTTTTTTTATAGAGGTATAAGGTAATAAATTAGTTTATTAGTGACTTTAAAGCTATTAGAGGCCCCTGTAAGATGCTCAAATCAGAGCAGTGACCTCATTCAGAAGAAGCTATTAAAATGACAAGGTGAAAGCAGACAAAATAAAAGAAATACTTTCTATAAACAGTAAAGCAGAAAAGAATCAAGAGGGTACTGGGGAATATTTGTATCCTGTTTTCCATGTTTACATTGTATTATATTTAAACCTCATGCAAAAGTTTTCCAACATGGCTGCCACTTGTTTGGAGTAGAAGTGGAAACTCAAAAAGAACTTAAATAATTACAAAATGAGTTTTTATGAAGGTTAAGTTCCAGAAAACAGAAGATTCTCCTAAGGAGAAAAAGCACTTGTCCAGTGTTAAGAATTAATTCTATCTAATAGAATGTTTCCCTTTTAGTTAAAAGAAAAATACAATTATGTGTCAATTAAAAACAAAATAAAACTTTAAGAAATGCATAAAAAGACAGAACCCTAACAGTGCTGATGATATACCCAAATATACTCATTTAATCCCAAGCAGTGGTTGGTTGGTTTGTTTCAGGCTCATAAATGTACATTAGAGCTAAAAATATATCACTCGAATAAATAATTTGAAACTGGCAATTTCAATTAACTCAGGAAATACAAAAAATTGCTCATGTTAACAGGGCCAAAACTTGTTGACTGGGGAGAGGAGTACGTAATCCTGAGAAACATCCAACAGATCATACAATACAAGTTCTACAAAATGTTTGTTAGTTCAGGATTGTCTATATATAAACTGTATCGTGACTCCCACACAATAGCAGGCTATTTTTATTTTATATAACAGCAAAAAGTAGTGTTCCTATTAAGTTTGAATTTAAGGAACAGCAATTTAAAAATAATACACCTTAAGAGGTCAAAGAAGTCTAAGGACTTGGAATACTTTTTAACGAATTAAATGCTGTATTTCCTATGTATACGGAGAATACCATCAATGTTTTGCCTTTAATGCAAAATAAAAACTACAAATTTATAGTGCTAATATTTGTCAACATATTTCAAAACCTACCTTTTTACATTGACTAATTTTAGATAAATTTGCAGGATTCTAACCTTATGAAAAATAAAGGTGACAAAAAGGTGGACTGGGTAACCCTATCTTCCAGGCTTTATATCATATTATAAAACTATCACTTATATGTAAGTGTTTACTGGCTATACAATGCATTGATAGTTTTAATTACAAATATCAATTGAAATGTGAGGCATCTCTTCACTAAAAGAGGCTAAAGTACTTCATTTAAATAAACATTCATATTTTTCAAATGTGAGACTTACCCGTCTTCGACAAAAAGGGAGGCCTTGGGCAATGATGCTAATGCTAAATATCTTCATCACAGTTTGATGTGGTAGAGGCTCTTTTGCACTTTTAAGATCAACAGGAACCAAGCCATGGTTTAGAGTAGTTTTTCCTGGTTTTGACATTTTAAAACTCCTCTTGGTTGATGAATACTCTCTACATGTAATACAGGCACATTACCAAAAGCTCTAACCACTAAATTTTAAATCTATATATTTAATAATAGTTTTTAAAAGGCTGAGAACCCAAGGCCTGCTGCTTTTGTCTTTCAACCTTCTCCTACCAAATGTCCTGACCTGCCTGACGCTTGGTGAAGTGCAAACTATCCTAGAATAGCCAGGAATTATAAACTACTGAAGTGAAAGCTCCTGCTCCTGCCAGTCAAACAGCTGGTGAACCTCTCATACAAAGTCAGTAATATGAACACAACCAAAGCAGGGCTATGCTGTAAGGTCTCTTTTAATATATCTCCAACCAACTAACCTAAGAGTGTTTCCTAGAAAGTGAAAGTAAATTTTTATTTACAAAAACAAACAAACAAAAACACAAACATTTTATCTTCTCTTGAATATCTATTAAGTCTGCCTTATCCAAATGTCAGTATTAATATTTTAGGAATGTTTTGAATCGTGTTTCAAATTTAAGGATGGTGTTATGGATGGTTAAAAAAAAAATCCACACATACACATTTGTTCTACCTTATATTATAATGAGCGCTATTTTTTCAAGTGCTCATCTTAAGTGTGCTCTTTCCCTTTTCCATACATACCAGTCTTTATCTCATACTCCCTAGACATTAAATACTGTACACTCTAGTTCTCTAATAGCTATTAATACACACTTCAGATTAATCTTCCTACTAGAGTTTTCAAAAATTGTCAATCTCTTTAATTCTGAAAAACTTATTGATTCTACTTGAAAGTATAACAGTCACCCATCAATTAAAGATATGTAAAAAGTGTATGTATTTATAAAGTAATCTACGATGGAAAGTAATTATAGTAAAATGGAGATTTAACTAGCCAGTCCATTGCAATCCCTACTGCCTAATTTCTCCTACGTAGTATGGTCAGATAAATCTTCCTAAAACACAGAGAGGGAATGTACTGTGCTGTCTACTCCTCAAGAACCTTCAGTGGCTCTCCAAGGCCTGAAATAAAGTCTAGAGATGAAGACTCCCCTTACAATGCCTCCAAGCTAAACTTTCCAGGAGTATCTCAAATATGTCCCTAAATTAATCACTTGTGCGAGTGTTAATTAATCTTTATACTATATTCCATGTTCCTAATAGACAGTAGATAGTAATTGTGAACTATCCATACACAGTGCTCAGTAAGCTATTCTCTCTTTCCATTCTATTTTCTTCTTCCAATAGCTAGTCAGCTCCACTTATCTCTCCTTCCAACTTTTAACTTCCAAGCTTTTATGGATGGAATTTTACAGTGGGAATTTAGACCAAGATATGGGAGGATGTGAAAGGATAAAGTTAGAAATGGGTGATTTCTTTTTGACTTTGGAAAGGCTGGCATCGCTAAGTATTAAAGTTGGCTGTTGGGAAGGCAATCCATACACAAGAAATAGTCCCATTTCTACTGGTAGACCTTTCTCTTATACTACAATTTAAAATGTAGTTAAAAATGCAAAATCGTTGGCAACAATGCTATACAAAAATAGATTTCTCCAAAGCTATGTAAATGGTCAATAGGCACAGGAAAAGATGCTTAACATCACTAATTAGGGAAATGCAAATCAAAACCACAATGAGCTACCACTTTGCATCCATTAGGAAGTTTTTTTTTGTTTTGTTTTGTTTTTTAAATAACAACAACAACAACAACAAATAGAAAACAAGTACAGGCCAGGATGTGGGGAAATCAGAATCCTTGCGCATCCTTGGTGGCAATGTGAAATGAATATAGCTGCTGTGGAAAATAGTATGACAGTTCCTCAACATATTAAACATAAAATCAGCATATGATCCAGCATTTCCACTTCTGAGTATATACCCTAAATAATTAAAAACAGAGACTTGAACAGATACCTGTATACACATTCGTAACAGCATTATTAACAATAGCCAAAAGGTAGAAGCAACTCAAGTCTCAATAAATGAATGAACAAAATGTGACATATACAAACAAGGGAACATTATTCAGCCCTTAAAAAGAAGGAAAATCTGACATATGCTACAACATGCATGAACCTTGAAGATATTATACTAAGTAAAATAAGTAAGTCAAAAAAGGATAGCGTATGATCCGCTTATGTAAGGTACCTGGAATACTTAAATTCATATAGACAGAAAACAGAATGGTGGTTGTCTGCGGCAGGGAGAGGTAGAAATGAGTTACTGTTTAGTTGGCATGGCACTTCAGTAGCAGAAAATGAAAACATTCTGAAGATGGATAGTGGTAATGGTTGTATAATTAAGTGTAAATAGATTTAATGTCACTGAATTGTATACTTAAATGTAGTTAGAATATTAAATTTTATGTTGTATATATTTAACTATAAATTTTAAATGTTTTTAAACAACAAAGTAAATGACTGAAAATGGAACAATCACCACCAAAAAAACCTCGAGGTATCTAAGGTTAGGAGAGAGAAGGGATAATGTGAGAGTGCCGGAAACCTGTAAATTGGTAGTAGAAACACGGTAAGAATGATATCCAAGATACCATGTCTACAGCCCTACGAGACAACTTACTAACTTGCAGAATTAATGATATATGCTAGTCTTAGCATCTTCTCAGATGCTTGCTTTATTTTCTAACATAAGACTAATCGTTTTGTTTGTGAAACCTATGTCATATTATGTCCTCTCATTAGACAATCTCTTTTGCTAAAGTAGTTTCCATGGAATATCCCTATCTCAGTTACTAACACTACCTATTTTGTTAATATTACAACAGTTCTGTAGTCCGGGGCTATTTTTTAAAAAATTCTGTCTCAGTGATATCTTTGAAATCAATCGGATAATTAACCCCTATGAATTTTCTTTTTCTGAACTACATAGAATATACAATTGTAACAATGTGATACTCCAATGCAGAAAAAGTAGAGGAATGTAGTACATTCTACAACATCTTCATCTGGCATTTAGAAAAATGAATCAAACAGATCTAGTTAACAGCCAGTGGTTATTCCCCTGGTTAATAAAGATAATATACTGGATATTATAGTTTTTCACTTTTTACATTTAAAAGTCCTCAAAGAACTCTGAGGTCAAATGTATTTACATGTAGACATTTTAAAGATAAGAAAAATCCCAAATCTCAATAAGTCTGATCCTAAGGGGAAAAAAATATTAAGAATTGAAAAGAACTTGGATTGGGAAAATTAAAACTAAAATCAACAGTTTCTAGTTTTTAAGAGACCAAAAGTTAGTATGAAATAAAACAAGCATTTTCATTTTCATGAAATAATTTACAATGATAACAGAAACACAACATAAGTGAATATAATTAAGGCTGTCTGTATATCAAACATTGAGTTTTTTAGTAGATACCAAGTTTTGGTAAGCACAAACTGGTGACATTCTCTAATTCAACTTTTTAAAAAAATCAGTAAATAGCTGCCCTCAACTGGATAGTACAGTGCATTGCAACTGCAGCAAACCAAACAGTGTAACTGAATCATGCGTTTGTCATGATTTATTTTTGGAAAAAGAAGACATTATCAGTGATGGGGCAAAGAGTACTAATTTCCAAATACATATACACTACATGTTTCATCTTTTTTGGAGAATTCAAGTAACAATACTTCTAAAGCAATATTCCCAATGAGTATGGAAACACTCAAAACACCAAACCTTCAAATATAGACAAAAATCCTAATAAATGAGGGAAATAATAGACACTGTATATAAGAACCTCAACTGTTAATACTGCAAAATGTCCAAACCACAGTGCTTCAAAAATTGAAAAAAAAAAAACAAAAAACTTCAAAATGCAGCTAATTCCGTGTATTCAAGAAAAGATAAAGTCTGGGTCTCAATTATACTCTTAAAAACATTTAAGATGCTCTTTAATTATTACCCCAATTGAGACTCTTAAAAACCAACAAGGCGTTTAACGATAAGTTTAGAAAAGATGATACCACAATAAGGCAATGCAGTATGGCAGGAAGGAGCATGGACTCCAGAACCAAACTGACTTAGTCCAAATCCTGGCTCTACCAGGTATGACCTTAAATTAACTCATTTGTGTCTCAATTTCACCTACCGCTTAGGACTGTTATGAGGATTAAAAATTAGTGATACAAGTATCAGAATAATGCCTCACGTCTAGTTAGTGTTCGACAGTGTTAACTGAACTGCCATTATGACTACCACTACTACTATTGCAATCAAAAATCCCACAGAGCTTTGTGGATTACATTACCAATCTAAAAATCACCAGGAAATAAAGCAGAGATTCTAAAATCCATCTATAAAAACTCTGGAAAACAATATTTTAAAACATATTATCTATAAGTTTCAGAAAGACTTCTATAGTTCTGTCAAAATGTTCACCAAACACTGAAGCTGCAGTATCTTAGCCATAGTGTCCTGGCATTTTAAGATTCCAGATATCATTGATCATCCATGATGGGCTAAACATTAGGGAATTTGTAGTAAAGAAAAGGTCTTTATATAAGGTAACTTATTTTGCCCACTTATCACTTCCTGATTTTCTTTCTTCTAAAAATTTGCATCCGCAAAAACAATTATATATAAATGTTACATATAACAAAATATCACCAATATGGTATCTGTACAATGCATTACAGCTCCAAGCACTCCAATTCTCTTGTAACAACAACAGAAATACCATCACAGCAATTTATTCTGGATTTCCTTCTTTTCTTTCATTATTATACAAAAGGCTAGAAATTTAGCTGCTCTTGACCAAAGCCACAGCATACGAGCAGCATAAAGATTTTCCATTTTTCATAAATTATTCCTGAATCAGCTAAAACAATCATTTGGAAGATGTAAATTTACCTGCAAGTTCAAATTAACTTTATACCAAAGGTTATCAAAGTCTTACCTCAAAAACTTCCACAGGAAGAATATCAACATGTTATTTGAATTCAGTATTATTCACTGCTTCTGTGAATTTAGGCAAGAAGTGACTTACTCTGTTGTAGAAACAGAAAGTCCCACATGCTAAACATTATGCCATTACTCAAGTGCAATAAATCAGAATCAAAATCTTCTGATCAGATAATATGGTATTATCAAGCATACTCATTTATTCACATATACAGCATAAGGCAGGTTATTTTCTCTACCAAATCAGTTTTTAGTCTTTCCTACTATTGTAGATATCAGAGTGGTATTTTCCTACCAAGCAATTCATGAATGAAAGCAATTCATGGTTGAAAACAGAACAATTTAAACACAAAGGAAAACACTCATAAATCATGAAATTAAACCCTCTGCTTAATGATATATAAACTATCAAGCTTGTATTAGCAATAAATGTAAAAAAAAAAAAATCCAGCATGGAACATATTACTTTAAATGCAGAAACATAAATACAATTAGATTTAGCATCAAAGAAAAAAATATGGCATACCTTTTAAAGTTTTAGTATTCACAAAAGGTACATCAAATGAATAAAAATGTTTTATAAGATTAAAATCACATTTAAAATGATTCCTAAAAATGTTCTAAAAGATATTTATTTACATGCTCAAAGTGCTCACTCAGAAATATTACAACTTCCAATTATAATGCATTTGAGACATTATATGTATGTAAACATTCAATGGATCACACACTGCACTTCTCTGCTAATTTTATTTAGGCAACAAGGACAGCCCCTAACTACTTAAGAGAAATACTCTTGGGTTATGATGTAGCATATATAACATATACAAATGTTATAAAAATGTGACCTGGTAATTGGACATTTGCAAAATAAAAGCATTGCATATACATGCCTATATACGCAGATATGTAGCATTTTCAAAATAAAAATGCTAGCATACTAGATTATATAAAGTATTGTTAACAGCTCTGATTTATGGAATCAACATCTCAATGTCAGACATTTAAGCTTTTTTATATTCCAGTTATTTCCAAAACTGTAGTGGAAAATACATTATAAACCAAAAAGTAAAACACAGAAAACCAACCAAACAAGTGCTAATAAATTATAAGTTGACAGATGACACAACTATCCCATGGTAAACCAGAAACTCCAAGATTTAGAAACCTTAACTATTTAAAGTCTTTCAGTACAATTACCTGGAGGTTATACTTCAGATTTCTACAAAGAGGAGGCTAAATATTTAATAGAAATAGACTGTCTGACTTCTCTTCAGATGATTGAGATTAAGAACCTTGCAGTTTTAGAGTATATTACATCTCTGAATCAACAGAGTGAAGAGACAACCTACAGAATGGGAGAAAATATTTGCAGACTATGCTTCCAACAGGGGGCTGATATCGTGAATTTACAGGCAACTCAACAACAATAAAAACCAAATAACTCCATTAAAAAGTGGGCAAAGAACATGAATAGGTATTTCTCAAAAGAAGACATACGAAGACATACACATTATTTTCATGCCAACAAGCATGAAAAAAAATGCTCAGCATTATTAATTATCAAAGAAATGCAAAGTAAAATCACAAAGAGATCTCATCTGACACCATTCAGAATGGCTATTAAAAACACACAAAAAATAAT